GCAGTTGCTCAGTACGATTGCAGTATGAAGTGATTAGATCAAATGAATTCTGACCACTTCTGACAGGAATCACAGCATTTATGGATTTCTGCTGGTGACTAAGAGCAGTGTACAGTTGGGGTAAATTTGGCTGGTGGCCTATGTTATCATGTCCACATGGTCTTAAGATGATAACATTGACAGAGGAGATGAAAATAAAATGTAGCTTCCTGCTTCTGCAGAACGGGCTCATTGACTGACTTTGGGTGGAGGTTCAGTGTTGAAATCAACATAGAACCACAGAACGGCGGAGGTTGGAAGGCACCTCTGGAGATCATCTAGTCCAACCCCCCTGCTCAGGCAGGGTCCTCTAGAGCGCTGAGTGCTGAGGGAGCCCTCGCGTTCTTTCTTTTGATTACGCTGTCTCCCATAGATCAGCTTCTGCAAACGTGAATGGATGCGTTCAAGTTGATGTGCGCAGGTAACACGCATAACACCGCTCCCCTTACTAGTCACGAACAAAGGCAGATCCTGAACGATACGTTTCGCTCTTCACTAGGCTCCGCAGCAGTAAATAGCTGAAAATATCTCAGAGCTGTGTTGACATTGTTAACGCTCATTCAGAAAATAGGAATTGTGGATAAACAGCAACTGCAGTTGAATCCTAAAATATGTTTGTTTGTTTTGTCCCCCATCTATAATCCCCAACCCTGAGTGAGATGCATGATTGCATTGTGAGGGAGGAGGAATTCCTCTTCCTCTTGCAGTTTTAGATTTTTTTTTTTTCCAGGACAGGGGAATCTCTGACATTTTGTATTCTTCCTTAAGATTCCCTATTTTTTTTTCCACAAAGTAAAATAATGTATTTTGGGGGGGGGGGGGGGGGGGGGGAAAGGGTCAGTAGGACAGGACACCGTTTTCCTTTTATTTATTTATCGTTAGAATACTCCCTCTATAGGCCCCTTTCTGTCAGTAACAGTGGATTTAAGCATTATTCTTTCTCAGTTAAAACACTTTTTGCTATCAGGGCCTCAGAATTCAAGGGAGCAGTGGGAGTCGGTGTTTGTTTAAAATAAACAAACAAAAATTCCACGAAAGATAAACCTACAAAAGAGAATGTTCCTAGGAGATTAAGTGTTGCCTTCATCTACTTAATTATCAAGGATATGAACAAAACCATTTACATGGAAAATACTAAGTGGAAACACACTTGTCATGATTGCTTTCAGTGCATAAAATCCTTTTAGAAGATGCAGCTACAATCCACAACGTTCTTATTTGATCTTGGTTTTGGATGCTTCCTGAAAACTGCCTGTGGTAATAACTGCTTTTTGAAAAAACCAGGATAGTACTGACATAGCCTGACTGGTCAGATGCCTGAAAATTTGTCCTGAGGTGTCCTGTTCTTGCTGCCTGTCCTCCCTCATTTTTACACCTGTTGTTTTCATCTGATTTATATAAAATAGGGCTACTATGTACAAATGTATTTACCCTATAACTTATATGGTGGCACTATGACCCTGAGTATTACATTTAGCTGGAGGTCACTATGAAAATGCATTGGCTTTTTTCAGTTTTGTTATGTAAAGTAAAAACAGGCACAAACAAACCCTGTCTTTGCTGTAAACTAATGCAACCCTTGATTCAGAGTTGCACCTGTTTGTGGTTGCTTTGTGAATCTGCTCTTGGCTGTTTTTGTTTGATCGATTCTTTATAAATCTTTTAAAAACATTTTCTTCTAAGCTTGTATTAAAATGTTATTGCCGTCTTATTCATAGATGTACTTGCATACATTGATTTCAGAAACAAAACATTATGCTCCAAAAATATGGAATGACATCTTCCGTGAAGCCTGTTTCTTTATGAAGGACTTTGAAACTTTGAAAAGATTATTTTATTTGAACTCCAGATTTTAATTATATTGACTTTCAGACAGAAGTTTCTTCTATATTAAATTTGTTGTAGTAAGTAATGCAATCTTCAAAGAAAAGGCAGGGGGGAACCCTGCTTCTGCTCAGATAAAGCCGTTCTTTTCATGGATAAAAAGTTGCTTTATAGCTCCTTCATTTATCAGATGGGACTGCTAAGTTCAGGACCAGCAGAACTAGAGATACTTGCTTATTTTCTCAAAAACGTATATCTTCATGTAATAGCCGGGGTGAAATGCCTCTAAAATATTAAAGCCTAATGGAAAAGTAGATAGGAGCTATGATTGTGCCAACTACATGTACTGGAGTACTTTAATCTTTCTGAAGCTCAGCTTCTAATTTGAGAATGCTTAAGCAGCTTTAATTCCTAATATTAAAAAAAAAATTAAATTCCTAATGCCCATTTCTTTTTACTGAGAGCAATAAATGCATATGGCTTAGCAATTCCCAGGCCTATTTACAAATTAATGGGGTGAGAAGAATAAGTACTTTGAAAGTGAGGAATTTAGGGTGTTGTCAGGGAAACCTGTGGGAGGTGACTAGACCTATACTAGTCTGCCAGTTAAGCAGCCTTTCTTGATGAATAACTTCTATGGCTGACTAAAATAAGATTCCCCCTTGAAGTTAGGGTATGTTAAAATAAGTCTGTTTCCTTTGCTTCGGTGTGACTTGGAACACAGGTTGTAAGAAACAAAGAAAAAAAGCTTGATATCTTAGCAAGCATGAACATGTGCGTGTGTATGTAAATATATGGGTTTCTTTCTGATAATTCTTACCTTTTTTGAGCAGTCATGTGAATAAAATGAGTATTATTATGTGAATATTATTATATGAATAATAATAATATGAAGGTCATCTCTGTATATGAACACAAATCTCAATTTCAGTATTATACTCAATCGACGTTTTCTTACAATAATTATGAAACCATGCTACTATGAGTATATTGACCAAACTGTGATGCCACTAGAGATGGACTTCTGAGTCCATAAATCTGAAGTTTGTCAGAAGAGTTTGATTTTGTCCTTTCCTTTCCTCCCCTTTAACCCAAGTAATTTCCTTGGTCGTTGACTTAGGAATCCAGCTACTCAACTGGGAGGTGGCTTTGGGCAGCATCTGGCGGTGCCTGTGTCCTCAGTCACCCATTATTTTTATGGAAACGGTTGGCTCTGTTTTATGGAAACACGCTGTATGGGTTTATTCTATTGAAACAAATAATATCTAGAAAGTCAAACATCTTTCTGCTTACAATGTATTGTGACTTCTGTTATTCTCAACTCGGGAGGAAATTATGTGCTGAGACTAGCAATTTTTGAGTTCATGTGTTTTGAATATTGTAGCACACCACAGAAGAGCCAGTTTGGTGTCTTAATATATTCCCCAAAGCACAATAGGCTGTAATTTTCACTACTTCTTGATATCCTGCTTCACAGTGAAGGTATTTATAACTGCACAGCAGCTGGCTAGGAAGTTTTTTTTCTGGGACCTATCTTGGGAAATATCTCATTGAGCTGAAACTCATGTCTGTGTTCTCCCTAGCATGTTCATGGCATTCCTCTCTATAAACTTGAAATATTCCACAGGTTAAATGGAGAATTTGTATTGTTTAGAAACGGAAACACTTGAGCTAGCAACAATTAGTTGAGCTAATAGTAAAGTAGTGCCTCCATTTTGTTCTGTGCATTTCTGCTGTTCCCTTGAAATGTTTTATGGACTTTAAACATAATGTCCTGAAGTAGTGTGATTGTGGTTAACCAAAACTAGATAACAGAGATGCAATATTTTTTCAAAACAGCAAATTTAATACTGTGGTACTTTTAGTAAAGTCCTCTATTTTAACTGTGCTGTATATACTCATTCTCAGAAGTAGTACACTATGATGTTGACTCCATTTGGGGCTGATTTTTTTTCCACACTTTGTAAAGTCCATCCATGTATGCCTGTGCTCCTGTGTTCAGAACAACTGCAGAGTACACAAGGAAATCTTTATGAGGAAATGGCTAGCTATTAATTCAGATTTTTTTCCTCAAGAATAAGAGATCAAAATAGTCTAAAGATTTTTCAGAAGATGCTCCCTGTAACAAATCCCACTAATTCTGTCTGTTCCCGTCTCCTGACAAGCCAGAAAAACTCGCTGGAAACTGCTGTAGACTTAGTTATAAACAGCTTTTGCCTCTGTTTGACCTCCTGCACAGTAAGAGTGCAATGGCTGCGCAAGATAAACCAGTCCTATTGTAAGATGACTGAGCTCTGCAAGTGCATCTTTGATGTAGGTAACTCTTGGGGTAAATTGAGTTCCATAATGTTTTTTGCATATATAACCCATCTGTTAACTCTCTATCTGCTGGACTGAAGTATAATAAAAGTAAGCTGCTTTAAAATTTAGGTGTAATTTTTCATATTGAGGCATGGTACCAACAGAACAGTGTTCTTGCTGCAGAAGACTCTATATATGAGCATAATTTATTAACTCCTTAATGCCATGGTGCATGTTAGTGTGTTTTTAAATATATAGTGTATGAATGTTTTCGTAATGAAGCACTTTCAAAGCTTAATTGACATGGTTTGAGGTCCTTTTAGTGCAGATACATTTCTGGAAGTTCCACCATGGCAGCTGAAGGATTAAAGAAGAAAGTCTCATATTTACTTAACATGATAATTAGAGAAGTGACTGTAGAAATTTCATAACTTTTAGATATTCCAAGAGGTTTTGCTAAGCCAGTGTCTAAAGACAAAAACCTGGGGCCTGCTCCAGATGTTTTTTGCTTATTGCTTATAAAGGTTTGCCTGTTCCTTATGCTTTTTCTTGGTAGGTTGGGTTGAATTGATTGAATTGACTCAAGCTAGTTCTTCTGGATGATAGTGTAGTTGTAATGGTACTCAGTTTCAGCAGTGTAAAACAACATCTGAAGGAAGGTGGAAACACTGCTTCAAACACTATGGAAGTGTTTCATGATGGCCATTCTGTTGCAGTTTAGAGATTTGTATGTGTCAGCAATTATTAAAATACAGAATTTTTCACAAAATATATATATATTTTTTTATGTCTCCAAATAGTTCTACACCTTTAATATTAATTTTCTTCTTTTGAAGTCTAGAGATTCTATCAAGCTGGATGACCTGAAGGCAGAGGTATCACCACGAATTTCAGCAGAAGATTTGATTGACCTGTGTGAGCTAACGGGACCTAGTCATTCCAAAACACCTGTAAAGAAAACAAAGTCTAGCAAGCCAAAGCTGCTGGTGGTGGACATTCGTAACAGTGAAGAGTATCCTTCAAATCTAAGTGCAATCCATGTCAAATCATGCTTGTAACAATTACCTCCTCTTTATCTGGTGACAGTGTGATATTAGAATGGGAAATAATAGGAAAGGGACATGTAAGGCACAGTAGAAAAGCTGATGGCAGATTTTTGTCCCGGGAGAGCCTTGGTTTTGTACAGAAGAGGACAAACATTGTATTTTTATCTTCACGCTTTAAGCTGTGGTTCTAGTGAACGACTAGAGCAGGAGAACTGTTATGAGTAGACCTTTCCCACTTAATGTGACCAATGTTTTGGAAGTATGGGAGGCTTTCCACATAAGTGGAAAGAAAATGGAGAAGGATTGATAGCTCATGTGCTTTTCCAATCCCTTAGTGGAAAACCAATTCCTATTGAGCACCACCTTGCTACTCTCAGGTAGTGTAGCCTTGGGGCTGCCCTAACTTGTCCTCTAGCTTCCTCACAATCAGAAAACGTCTAAACATATCTTGAATCTATCTTTTTATCACTGTTGCCACCCTATCTACACCTTAATCTTTCATTTGTTCATTTTCAAATACGTAGTGCTTTGAGTGTGGAAGTTTTTACGTGTGGAAGTTTTTTGATGCAGCGTGATTAAGGCGTTGGGTTGATTTGTTTGGAAGGGAGGTTCCATCTTGCAAATGTGCTTTACAAGGAACATGCATCTTCACCAGCATCCATCTAAAAGTGGGAACAATAGCAAGGTTTTATTAGATACAACTTTTAACAGTCTAGAGAACATACTTATTACTTTTTTTATGTCACTTTTAAGTGCTGCTCCTTTCATAATAGCAAAGATGATGTAGATTGTTGCCTTTGAGGGAGGTATACTCTTAACTTGCTGGGTGACAAGCTTCATTAAGCTGGGTCCAAGTCTCATGCTAGCAATGATACTCCACAGACAAATAAGGAAGGAAATAGTATGAGATCTGGTCCACCTTCTACTCCAAAAAGGAGAATCATTTCTGTTACATACGTTGGGCTTTTTCTTAAAGACCTCCAGTGATAGAGATCCCACAGGCTCTTAACTGGTAAAATGTCTTTGCTGTTAGGGGAAAAAAAAAATCTTCCTCATGTTTAACCTGTTGCTGTTAACATATTGCATATATATGAGAAAAGAAGTGTACGTTCTCAACAATGAAGTTAATGCCTAAGATTTCTAGGTTTCCATACACTGATTAAATTGTTACCCTTTAATGGTGGATGAAGGCTAAATATTAAATATTTGGGCTAAAATATAAAGTAGAAGTTTAAATAAATAAATGCTTTTAACCTCCTGTTTTTTCATCAATTTGTAGTTTATTGAAGCACTATTTTAAAGGTAATTATATATCCAGAAAAATAGTGCCACAAGCATTCCTCTCTATTAAATATTAACAATATTTATGACAAGTTATAGTGAAATAGAATAGTAAATACGATTTTTACTATGTAAATTGAAGTAAATTTATTGTTCATATAGTAAACTGAATCATATAATTGGAGGATTCTGAATTAAAAGTTATTTCCAAGGAGTTATAATGTTACTGTATGCCAAGCTTGAATTTATAGTATGATTTGCTGTCTAGATTAAAAAAAAAAAAAGTCGAAGGAACATAAAGTGTTTTTTATTTTGCTTGCATGTATTACTTTCATTCAAGGTTTCCAATTAAGCAGAGATTCATGTGTCTGAATAGTTTGATTCTTCATTGTCTGGGCTTGAGTGACTTCTATTTCTCCTGGAGTTAGATTGTTGAAAACATGGTCCTCTTTATTCAGAAAGCATTATGTGTGTGTGTCTATATAAATATATATTATATGTGTGTGTGTATGTATGTTTGTATGTGTGTATAGATAGATATAGATATATACACTTTTTTTTTAGACCTCAACTTAAAAGAAAAGGCCCTGGAATCAAAAGCTCCAAACAGTTGTTGTCACTGTATAGAAAGATTGATACTACTGAGTTAAATAATGTTTTTATTTCTACGTGTGTTATTCTGTTGATAATTATTCAAGCTGCTTACTAGAAATCATCAAGGAGAATGCAGGGGGAGAGCAGGTAATATAAAATGCCTAGACTAGAATCATTGTGCTGAAAGGCTCTTATCTGTGTACAGTAATTGATTTATTAATGCATCAGGATCGAAGGCAAGGTGTTTGTTTAACGTATTTGTAACTTTCCTAACAGCTTGGTAATAGGTTCTACTATACTATCCTACTATATCAGCTATACTATCCTACTAATCCTGTTCTACTGTAGCGGAGTAGAATCAAAAGTTTCGATTATTTGAAAATCATTTGAGTGCTATGAAATAAGTGGCTTTATGGGGCAATCTCCCATATTAAAAAATTTTCATCAGACTTTCCCTTTGTAGTTCTTGAACGAGGAGACACACTGGAGAAAAAAAATCTCCATAGCTCAAACAGTGCATTGTAGTCACCGCTGCTGCTGTTTCTTTCTGGTTGGAGTTCATGGCGAATAAAGTATGTTTCCATACAGAAAACAGCTTCTACTTTCCACCTGTGACATATCTATAAATAACGAATGGTCTTAAATCTTCTTGGTGTTAGGTAGGGAATGTCATTTTTGAGAAGTCAATCTGGTAGGTAATAAACCCCTTGAATGAGTTATTCTGAATGTCAGTTGTAGGAGAACATAACTGTATATGAAAAATTATTAAACTGTCAGCTCTTCTGAATATGCATAGGAAACCATAGGAATAATGTGTTATGTTCAGTGTTGTATTCATTGTTGCAGCAGCTTAAAGCTATTGTCTCTGTGTTCATCACAAAATATTGGCAAACTGGTCAACAGGATCAGACAGCATGTGTAGCTGTGACACGTATTTTAAAAAGTGAAGGACCACTTCAAGCTGTTTCAAAAGTATGACTACTTATGTTTTGCTATTTATCTTGCTCAACATCTGTGCCTTTCATGCTAGACTTCATTCTTTCACTTTGTTTTCAGTGTAATTTGAAAAAAGCATTAGAGGACTTTCTACCAGTATCAGACATACTTCATGTTTCATATTAGGACGTATTTGAAGCGAAGGCATTGTTTTGTAATGAAGCTCATATTGCAAGACTGAGAGCTAGTGACCCTTTTTCCCTATAGACAGCTTTACAACAGAAGACTTTCCAATGAAAAGGTAATGTACTCAAAGCAGTGTCTCTGGCAGTTACAAAGCCAGGAGTTCTGTCTAAGCCTCATTTCATTAAGCATGTTAACAGAAATACTGGCAGCCTTCCATTCCTAGCTACAACTTTCATAAGTACTTTATGGTCTCAAAGTCTGTCGCACAAAATCTTTGCCTTTTTATTGTCTTAGTACTGGGAAGTTTAAGATGGTCACTTCAGATTAACGAGAATGTGAATGACAAGAAATACAGTCTGGCTCTATCTGGTTGGCTATTAATGTTGTCAGTATAAGTAAGTAAATGTATTTCTTTTGGAAAGGATTGTGTCAAGGTGCTCTGAGCAGTTAAGCATAGTCAGTGGTGTGAGTATGATCATCTAAGTGTATTCAGGGCGTTGTTCTGCCTAAAGGACTATTGCTTCAGGTCTTGCCATCATTAGTAGCAATGAGAATGATGCAGTTATAAATCAGAGTGGTTGAGGACTGGTACAGAGTAGTGAAGGAGTGTTGTAATATTCCCCTTCAAAACGGAACCAAGCTAACTACATTAATGAAAGGTGTGTGATCATCCTCATTCTTTTGATGTTTATTTTTCCCACATAATGATAATGATGAAGCTGCAAGTGTTACACTGATCGCAAGAAATGAATGCTAAGTCAGTTAAATTTTACCTCCATTTAAGGCAGTTCCCTTTAATTAAGCCCTAGAATCTACTAGCTTTCTACAAGTACAGTAATAAAAAATGACTAATCTGAATATTTGACGTTGTATTTATTTTTGCAGCAGTTTGCTGTTTCCCATCTCCTCAAAGCTATTAGTGTTTATTGTTGGGGAAGAGAAACATTCCATGTTCATGTGCATGCAATCTATAAAAGTAGTCCAGAGTTTTTTTGTTAAGGTCATGACACTTGATTCAAATTCAGAAAAATCTAGGTAGTAGTGGTCCAATTTAATTTTTGTTGAAGAGATTTCATACGGAGTTCACATTCAGTATTTTTTCATAAAATCTCATTGAATGATATTGTTTGAGAGCAAAGCATGACTAACTATCTTGGAGTTCTAGCGTTCATGTTAGCTTTTTGCTGCATAATACCTGATATGCTCTCACCATTAGTGGGGCTCCAGATAAGTACGCGTGATGCTCTTTCATCTGAGGATCGGAGTGCATCTGTGGCAGCATATAATCCCTGCCTACTTTTGGCTCACGCTGTGAGCACGTGGACTTGATTCCTTTTAGCGTTGAACTCCTCTGGAACGGTGCCACAACTGCTCATGGGTGTTCGGTTCCTGGGATCATACTAGAGTTGATTTTAAGTAAAACCCCCAGGAATGCATGTAGTGTGGGTTTTGAGTCCTCAGCACCAACTGTTTTGTTTTACAGATCTGTTCCTGTTGTGCCAGGCTATGTTCCTTTTGAAACAAACAAATCTTCATTCTGTTTTTTCTTTTCTACATGGTGTCAGAAGTTGTTTTCTCCAGATGAATAAATAGTAACTGAGGTTTGTCAAAATCCATCAGCGCAAAAGACTAGCACTGTTGTATCACGTCAGTCAGGAGGAAGAGCAGGCCTCTGGAAGGGGGGTTGTTCTGATTTTATGTACTTTCTCCACTGTAAATAGCTAGGAGAAAAGAAAATAGAGACCAAGCTCACTGGACTGTTTGAACTGAAACGATAGTGGGGGTAAAAAAAATTCTTCACTAGAATGCAGAAAGTTCCATCAGCTTTACTTAAAAGTGGGCTTCAGACTTAGTTGTCAGTATTGCAGTAATGTTTAGGGATGGTGTTCCCTCTCAGCTACCCGTTATAGCTGTGTGTATACCCCAAATGTCTATGCCTTTCAGATGCCCTTAACAGTCCTCCTTAAGCTTTAACCGTGGCCACATTTCTGGCAGCATCAACGTTCCCTTTGGTTCAGCATTTACTGCGGAAGGGGATCTTGTCCAGTGCCCAGCTACTGCCATGCTCCAGAGCTTTAAAGGAAGAGTCGTCGTGATTGTAGGAAATGCAGTGAAGAACACAGCTGCCGTAAGTCTGTTGCTACAATGTAGAAGTTTATACTTGCACCTACATCACAGGTATTGAATCCAGACAGTAGTAGATAACTACTACTGTCTGGATACTTGAGATGTTAGTAACATACAAAGACTTTGGGCGTCACTACAGGATTAAAAAAAAATTTTTTTGTTTGTTTATGCTTTTGGACAAAAACCTATTTCTCTTCAAGTGATAAACACCTGAGAAAGCTGATGCTTTAAAATGAAATTACTTAACACTGCTTTTTCAGCTTCAAAATCCTTATTTTGGTCTATTATGAAAGTGACATCAGCACTTCTCATGTGCATCAGTACATCTAGCCGGTTCTAGTTTTCGAAAATGACATGGGTTTTGCGTTTACTCTCTGTAGCATTGCAAAGCAAATGCAAGGCAAGTAGGGAAGGGGCAGATATGTTATGAAGTCCAAAGGAAATAAAATACAGTTTATATCTCTCATAGTAAGAAACAGTGATCAGTTTAGCTTTTTAGAATCATTTAGCTTGTCTAATTTCACTCAGTTAAGGAAAGAATGGTTCCTACAAGTAACTTCGGTGTGGTATTTTTATTGTCAGTGTCTTTACCTATGTGGAGAA